AGTGTGCATGATGGCATGTTTTTTGCCTTGTTGTATCATGACATAGAATCACGAAACGAACGATGCTTGCAACGTTCAAAGGCGCAAAGCTGTAGCATTGTGGAGGACATGAGGGAGGAGCTCGGGGTATACTTGTAATAATAATTATTCCATCCTTATTTGCAAATAGACTTGATCAAAACTTGACGCATGGGTGAGCGGATGCCAAGCCGAAATCGGGATCAACTCGCCGTTACGCACCCCAACCGTGAGAAAATCGGACATTATAGCACGCCCTTTGCTCCCGTTTTTTCATCAAGTTGCCTCTTGTTCCTCTACTCCCACCTTCCGATCCTATAAATCTTCACTCCCTTCTCCCCACCACCTCTTCCATTCAGTGAACATGTTCGCCACACTCGTTTCTGTCGCTCTTTTTGCCGCTGCTGCTATTAGTGGCGCTGCCGCTCAGCAATTGTCAATTTCCACCCCTCAGTTCACGACTGTACGCCCTCCTTTTCCTGAATTCACCATTGTGAAGAACTGACGAGTCTTTCCAGTGCCAACCCGCCGAAATTACCTGGTCTGCCACTCAGGGCCCTTACAATTTGATTATGACTGCACCAGATGATCCTTGTACCGCTGTGTAAGTATCTAGAACTTGATCCGAGAAGGGTGCTCATTGTTCATTCAGCGTCGACCTTGGTGACCAAGATGGCACTTCCGTTAGCTGGACCCCCAACGTTCCTGCTGGAACCCAGCTCGAGCTATCTTTAATTGATTCTACCGGAGAAGAGGCTTGGTCAGGCACTGTACGCAACCTGTTACCCCGGTCAATTGAGGTGCAATACTTAACATCATACTCTATAGATCACTGTCGCCCAAGGCTCAGACACCAGCTGTGTTAACGCGGACGCTGTTGCCTCTGCCTCCAGCTCGGCGTCTTCCGGTTCTTCTGAATCCTCTGTATCCGTTACTGGTACCACGTACGTGCTAACCATGTACAAGTACCGGTCGACCTCTAACCCTTTCTTTAGTTTGGTGGTTACCGGTTCTGCCACTACCCAGACTGCTAGTGCCTCTTCCTCTACCAACGCAGGTCCTCTTGGCGCTGTCGGCAACAATGGCCCTCTCGAGGCCAGTGGAAACGGAGCCATGACCCATGCCTCTGCCCCTATCATGATTCTCAGTGCTGTCGCCGGGATTCTCGCTTTCTCTCTATAAGGATACCACCCCTGCAGGGGGTATAATACCCATCTCAGCGTCCCCTCTCATCCGTATCTTTATTCTTTAAATCTTTTCTAGACCGGATAGCTCGTGTGGATCATGTTCTCCGGGTATAGCGTCACATCTCCTTCCCCTCCCTTACGCGTTTGATCGACTTTTCTCTGCTTCATATATTTTTTTCTCTTTGGTTGATTCTGGAATCTGACTTTTGCTACTGTTGTGACAAAGCTAAGGGGGTGGCTTCTGGTAGATGTATTTAATTCAACTCTGTAAAAGCCTTGGCCATTTTGGTGGGGGCTGCTGATTTATCTCGATCATTGGTGGTACTTTTACGAGCTGGTTGATCTGCAGCTTGCTTTTCTCTTTGTCTTTTTTTCCCTTCACAGCAATTGCCTTGTATTTGTTATTATGACAACTACGACAATTTCAGCGTTTTTTGTGATACGTTCTCCAATGAAGCCTTTTATGGAAGGCCATTGATGTGAATGCCGAAAGAGAAAGTTATATGTCTAGTAATTTCATGACCTCGACCCCACTGGTTGTATCAAGTGTTTGGCTGACGCCGTCTGCAAGCCACTCTAAATGGTATTTCAGCGTTTCATCGCCATCCAAACATAACCCTTCCAGTGCAGAGGTCCCATCACCATTGCCTTTGGATATCACCAAAACACCATCTTGAGGCCCTAACTTCTCCTGTCCTGCCTTGGCCCCTCCAAGCCCGACCTGAAGCATGACCTCATTAAAATCAACGTCAATGTGCGCAAGACCCTTGACGCCAATAATATCCTTCGTGAGTTTCAGTAGATCCTGATTGGTCTGGCCCTGAATCCAGTCATAGTGTGCGGGCACAGAAGACCAGCCTGAGAGAAGGTAGAAGATTGCGCTGTGGGGAGATGGATTTGAATCTGAGCGTAAGGAGGTGAAGAAGAATACGGGATAGCCGGAGATGGCAGATTGCTTCTCGGCAATAAGTCGTAGGTGATCTCGGAGGGGAGACACAGAGAATGGATTTGGAATGGAAGGATTGGGGTGAGGGAGAAGCTCAAGGGTGGCGAATTCGGTTATAGGCATATTGTACAAGGAGAATGTATGTTGTTAGGGGTTAATATAGGGTTACGCGTAGGAGGCGACGCGTGTAAGCGCTCAACGCAGCATTTTAAGCGCCCTAGTACCGCTCCGATCAAAGATGATCACTGCAATATGGGAACAACTGCTCCTATAACGGCTGTCAATTTGCTGGCGACTTTTGATTCAGCTGCTTTTTTCCTTTGCTCCCATCTTCTCCCCACTATTTTTTTCACATCGTCCCATTGCCAACTAAGCTTCCATCAATACCCTGCTATTACGTCCTCTGAGAGAATTCATGCACTATTCAAGGCGGATTTAGGCTTTTTAATATGACAACTTTGGCTGTACGATTAAACGAATTGGCTGCGGCCAATGAACAGGGGTTGCTCAAGTGCGTCTTTTTTTTTTCGTCAAGTTGTATAGAGCTGAGCATAATACAGTGACGACGAGTACCGGCTTTTACGACAGGATGTCTTTGAACGATATGCTAATCTCGGAGGCGGAGCGAGAGGGATGTCCTCTGTGGTCCTGGTCGTGCCAGAGAAACAAGCGAGCAGAATAAACCTTGCTCAACCCAAGCCGAGGAAGCTTGGTAGACGTCCTTCAGAAGCAACAATCAGTACCGTAGCTTCTGCACACTCGGAAGCACCGTTGAAAAAGTCAAAAACCAATATTATATCCTCGTTCATCCGTAGAGCGACTTCCCCATTAAGATCTACGTCTAGCTCACCGGCTCCCTCCATTTCGAGATCATCTTCGTACTCTTCTTCACCCCAGACTTCCTCCAAGATAATTTCCGAAGCCACTGGCCTATCTAGATCCGCTTCTTCGCGAAAGATTTCGGAAATTACTTACCCGAGCTCATATTCAGTTTCGGTTCCGAATCCACATCTACTTTCACCTCCGACCAGTCCAACACGATCTTCTCATACTTCTCGTAGCAATACTTCCAATTACAAGAGCTCCAAAAGCTTGTCTAAATCATCTAATGCGAATCTACCCGGCGCTTTAGCGGCGCATGATATATTCGAAGATGGTGGTCTCTTCACGCCTGCTGACATTCGACAGGCTATACTTGACCTGGACAAGGATGCGAAGAGGGTCATAAGAGCGTTTGATGAGTTGGAGGACAGTGCTGTTAGAAGGGCTCAATTGGCGGCAAGAGAGGCGTCCACAGGACGAACCGTCTTACCGTCATCCGCCATCGATTCCAGTATACACCTTCCGCTCCCACCGATAGCTCAACGGTCCAGGTCAGATTCGGCGAGCAATGGTCCCGTCACCCGTTCATCTTCGACGTCCAACCCAACCCTTTCCCGTGCCAAATCCACCGCTTCTATTCGGTCTCTAGCAAGTGGAACACATCCTAATCCAGACCTGATAGTGTCGCCCAAGAGTCCCTCTCTCCGAAAGAAAGGATCTGTCTCCTCTCTTGCCTCGTCCCTGTTTTCGCTGAAAACTAGACCCTCAATGCCCTCTCTACCTTCCATATCGTCCGGTCCTTCCGGACCTGTGATGTCCAGATCCCGAAGCGACAGCGCTGCCTCCACTTTGTCCAACGCGCATCTCTATCATTCCAAACCGAATCCAAGCCATGGTCAATCGAGTTTTTCAGGATTCTCAGTAGCGACGACTGGCAGAGGCATCGAAGGACGACCGTCGATGTCCACCATCTCCAGCGTAGGCTATTCCGGGCATGGAAGAACGAGTACCAGTACTGGAAGGCCTAGCACGAGTACGAGTATAGCAAGTACGAGGGAAGGTAGGAGCGACAGTGCAAGTGGACACAGCCCTCTTCCTCCCACGACGTCCTTCCGCGTCCCTGCAAATTCTATGTCGCACGTTCCCTCCCCCTCACATTCTTCCAAATCAAGGTCAGGATCGGTACGCTGGCGGGCAGATTCGATTGATTCGATGCGCTCCGAGAGGTCGGGTAGCAGAACACCTGGTAAATCGGAGAGGGAACGGGCAAGGGGAAGGAGCGCAGAGCGGGATCGAGGAGGGGAGGACAGTGAAGACGGTCGGTCGGTCGACGAGATTCGCCAGATTCGAAAGCGGAGAAAGGATGTCATCGGGAGGTACGAGACGAGGAGGGAGTATTTGAAGGCGAGACTTAGAGGAGCAGAGTTGCATGAGCGAGTCTTGAAGGGCCGTTAGGATTCGCTTAGGCTTCGAGAGAGAGAAAAGGGAATTTTTTAATATATATTGGCATGGGAGTGGGATGGACACGGACTTGGGTTTTTTATAGTTCACGATTCATTCACGACGATTTCATTATTCCCTTTATTCTTCTGTAGATCTATGGCTGATTATGTCGGGATAGCTTTATATCTTATTTGTTGTTGTACAATCTTCTGTAGAATGGCTTGGTATCATTATTTGTTATGCTTCAGTGAAACACGCGACCTAAATTAAGCAGATTGTATTTGCACTTGGTGACACTTCCCAACCGCTGTGTTGCTGGGTTTTAGTGTCTATTCAAACGACTTATCCTCGGCCCGCGTAGGGGCAGAGTATTTATCTGCTTACAGATATCTCGAGCTCTCTACGACTGCTGATGAACTTGAAGGCACCTAGGGTTCAAAAAGCATTTGCATTTAGGCTTACTTTCCTGCGGCAGTGAAGAATTCAAAAAAATCCTGATGGATGGACCTTGCAAGTAAGGTGACTACTATTCCTTCGAAGTCGTGTACTTTCGATATATTTTTCTGTCTCTAACTCCAAAATATGCATTAATGGGGTAGTGGTAACCTGGGTCGTTGCCATTGTTCAATTATGTTCGACCCGCCGGGGGTTCGATTCCCCCTTAATGCATATATCGTACAGTGGAAGCTTTTTACTTAGAAGTCATACCACCAGTATGACCATGTATTTCCATCTCCTTTGGAATCGACCAATATTTAGTTATCGAAGGTACGGTAGTGTAAGCTCATCCAAGCGGTATCTGCTATCGAGACCGGTATGGAAATCCACGTATCCACAAACAAATTTCTTATAAGCATCCAATGCCGCTTTTTGTGGCTCCAAAATGTGAAGAATCTTCTCGTGTGCCTCGATCGTCTCATGGATTATAGAATGGAATGCATGGCCTTTGCTGCATCCGCGAGCACCTGCCAAAAGTGAGATGTGATTGGCGCTTTCTCCGTTGATTTCTTCTTTGTAAATTGAGAGAATATCACTACATCGTTGTCCCATCGTTAGAAGGGGTGAAGGATGTTCGTTCAGGGCAGTCTGCTTACTTGATATTGACAACGATTACCATCAAGCTTGGGAGCGTTTGGATGAAGGCCTCGACAGGGATTTCAGGAGGGAAAGCCGCCAAACCGTAGAGCTCCGGTGCACCAGACATGAGTCGAGCGAATAGGGGATAATTATCGGCCGCAGGAGAAATCTTGTAAATCACAGTAAGAGATGAGTCAATTATATAGAAAAATGTATACCTTCATCCCGAGTGCCTGTTTTTCCAGTAAAAGACCGTTGGTCCAATTCAACATCGATACCACCATGAAATTTGCCGTGATGCGGGGGAATATACGGGGTGCCTCTTTGAGAAGATCGGCGAGAACGTCCAGGGCATGATCCTCCTGCGGCTGACCACACAAAAGTCGCTCGCTAAACACAGTAGCAGGGCTGGTATCCTTCTGGCCTTTGTCGTCGCTGTAAATTGCCGCAGCGGTGAGTAAAGCAATCCACACTTTGGCAGAGGTGTCTTCTAGGTAGCCATAGGTTGTGGCAGCTATCACAACTCCCCCTGGAATGCACGACCTCAGTTCTTGGGAGCTCTCAGTTACGTAGCCTCTCTTTTCTGCCTCGTTATAACAAAGCTCGAGGAGCGACAGATCCATGGGTACTTTTCGATAGGGAATTGAGCATCTTGAGAGAAAATACTGTATAGCGGATGAGATTTCTTCTTTCTGGCGGAGACGGAAATTGCGATCAGACAACAGGCTGCATTCAGAACCTGAATACTTACTGTGATGCTCGTAGACTGCATCTTGTGGGGGTGCGAGAGGAGTTGCAGCTCATTTTTATCATCTTTAGAGCTGATGGCAGGAATTATTGTTCATGTAATCTAAGTCTTCATCGGATACCAGATTTGAATCGACCGCCTTCAGTACCCAACCAGAATACTCACTGGGATCAATCATCATCATAGGCTGCATTTTGCGGGAGTCTGTGAGAAACTACCCTTGTAATACCTTAAACCTAATATCCTCGAACGACAGGAATTATTGTTCATGTAATTGGAGGTTCCACATCTGATTCACTGGCGGTGTTGGGGTAAAGAACGAGTAAATGTGATCAAGACATTCACAGATTCAGAGAGGAGAAGAGGTCGGTTCTATCCAGGTTCCGTGCAAAAGTTTTCATCGCGCAAAAATGGCTCGAGAAGCAACCGGTTCAGCACTTTTCTCGTGTTTGCTTCCGCCGCTTGCTGTAACTCCCATAGATAATAACAGGTAATTCACCAAGGAGAAGAGTGTACAGTATGCTAGGTTGCCCAAGCCGTATGTCGAATTTCCGTGCTGGTTGTCTACATCACAAGGGACCGCAGGATATGCTGAACGTTCCGATATCCGATAGGCGGGCCTGATGACTTCATACCATCTTCTGGTACTTACGACGACGAGACACTATGCGACGTATGGAAGTGGTAGGAACTCCAGTGAAAGAAGGTAAATGTATCCAGTTGTTCAATAACGTTCCTTCCCCTCGTCGGGCAGACTTTATAACACCACAGTTGCACCTGATATCTGAAATGGACAGCTCAATCCGCAGAGAAACATCTTTTTGCTATAGCAGACAACCGTTCAAGCATTTTCAGCATGCTCTCTGCATCTACTGTGACGGTTCCTCCGACCAGTGCTTTTCGAAGACCGGCGATGAAGCAAGTCTAGTCAAGCATTATTAATTTTTGTCCTGCTTGTCTGAGCTGCACTAGGAACGGTGAAACGTGGTGCCCGTAGTACAATCGATACAGTATCTGGTACAATTCGACAAGGTCGGAAGACTCCTGGTTTGTTCGGAATAGCTCCCGGAAGCTCGGACCGATTCCTTACTAGCCGGGGGTTCGATTCCCCACTAATGCATGTCATATATTATCTGCTCTTTTCTCAGCAGTGTCCGACATAACATGCGAAGAAATTGCCTTATCGCGATCTTCCAAGTTCCAACACAAACATCTTCAGAGTTGAATCTAACTATGTAATCAGCCAGCACGTCGTACGGCAGGAGACTGCACGAATGACTATATACTGATCTTTATTTACTTTGACTTCACAGGGCACTATACTATGTATAGGAAATCTATCAATATCTAATCATCGATGGGATCATTGGCCTTCGCAATGAAAGGCAAAGCAAGCTCATCCAAACGGTATCTGTTTTCAAGACCGGTATGGAAATCCACGTATCCGCAAGCAAATTTCATATAAGCATCCGTTGCCGCTTTGTTTGGTTCCAGGATCCGAAGGATCTTCTCGTGTGCCTCTATCGTCTCGTGAATTATAGAATGGAGTGCGTGGCCTTTGTTGCATCCACGAGAATCAGCCAAAAGTGAGATATAGTTGTTACTTTCTCCGCTGATTTCTTCTTTGTAAATCGATAGAATATCACTATGATGGTCCGGTTGTCAGAAGAAGAAAAAAAGAGTGTTCGTTCATGGCAGTTTACTTACTTGACATTGATGACGATGAGCATCAAGCTTGGGAGCGTTTGAATGAAAGCCTCAACCGGAATGTCGGGAGGGAAAGCCGCCAAACCGTAGAGCTCGGGTGCGCCAGATATAAGTCGAGCGAATGTGGGATAATTATCAGCCGCAGAAGAAATCTTATAAAACATTGCCGACAGTAAGTGTTTCTGTCCAGACAGATCAATTATAGGGAAAGATGTATACCTTCATATCAAGGGCTTGTTTTTCCATTAAAAGACCATTGGTATAATTCAACATCGATACCACCATGAAATTTGCCGTGATACGAGGAAATATACGGGGTGCCTCCTTAAGAAGATCGGCAAGAGCGTCCAGAACATGATCTTCCTGCGGCTGACCAGCTAAAAGACGTTCGCTAAACACACTAGCCGGCCTGGTATCCTTTTGGCCTTTGTCGTCGCTGAACAGTGCCGTAGCAGTGAGCAGAGCGATCCACACTTTAGCAGAGGTATCTTCCAGGTGGCCATAGGTTGTGGTCGCTATGATAACTCCTCCTGGAATGTAGGACTTCAGTTCTTCGGAGCCTTTAGTGATGTAGCCCCTCTTTTCTGCTTCGTTATAACAAAGCTCGAGGAGCGACAGGTCCATGGGTACTTTCCGATAGGGAAACGAGCACCTGGAGAGAAAATATTGTATCGCGGAAGAGATTTCCTGTTTCTGGCAGAAACAAAAACCGTTGTCAGACTACAGGCTGCGTTCAGAACCTGAACACTTACTGTAATGCTCATAGACTGCATTTTGTGGGGACTCGAGAAAATTTGTGGCTCTTCTTATAGTCTGTAGACTTCATCTCCTCGACCGATAGGAATAGCCGTTCGTGTAATCGGAGTCTTCCTTGGATACCGCGTCTGAATCCACGGCGATATTTGGACGTTGAGCGTAAATGCGATAAAGAAATTGACCGTTTCAGAGAGAGGGAGTACTTATTCCAGTTATTATTAATACACCGGAGAAGAGGCCGGTTCAAACTAATAATATCGCGACCAGTGTCGTTCTTGTTCTCGAAGGGGAGAGGGTTCGTGCGAAGGAGGACCACGAGTCGAAAAGAGAACTCACCCTTCCTTAAATCGCAATTGTTTACCGCTTCTGACCGATCAAAATTTCGGTCATTAAAGTTGAAGGTAAATCAGGAAAGGGAGCCTTACCTCTTTCCGAGGTTCCGTGCAGAAGTTTTTACCGCGCTCGAGAGTGATTATCCCCCGCAATCGACTCTGTATCTTTCTCCTGTCCGTGCATAGCGCCTCTGTCGCTCATCGTAAGTGGCTCTCACGGACATCAACGGGTTTTGAAACAAAGCAGAGGGGAATATACACTAGACTGACTGATACGTTGCCGGGCTGCATGTTAAACTCAAAGCTTGTTGCTCGTGTACACCCTCCAATACGGGAATCATAGGAAAGACCGTAGGATTTACTGAACATTCTGAGATCCGATGGGCGAGCTTTTTCTGAATGCCGATCTTCCTGAGTGGCGGAGAAACTGAGCCCGGAACGTGACATCGCTTCATACCATCTTCTAGTATGATGGAAAAACACTATGCAACGGATGAAAGTAGTAGCAACGCCAGTGAAAGAAAGTGAACGTACGTACCCAAGTGTGGAACTATCCGTCGGCTGTCGGGCGGACCTGAAACTATTATCTTACGTCTGGTTCTCTCTTACACACCAATTGGTTGTCGTGAAACTTCCTCGCTGAGAGACATCTTTCATTAAACAGCCGCCCGAAAATGTTCGGAGTTCTCTGCGTTCGTTGTAAGGATTCCAGCAATTCCCCGATTTCCCCAAGCAGCCAGCGCTTCGCGAAGACCGGCGGTGGTGCATGTTTCGCATCATGAAGGCATTCGTCCAAATTGTCTGAGGTAGATTAAGCACATCGGATTGTCGTACCTACGTGCGGAACATCCCGGTGCAACTTCCACTATAGTACGACAAGGTCGGAAGAATTCTCACCCTTGGCTGCTCACCACTCAGGACTGGAATCGGCAAGTTTAAATATCGATAAGGTACTTTGATTCGCGCGAACTATGTCAATTTGGAAGGTCCGCAGTCGAGTATGTGAACTCTCTCAAGTTCTGAAGATTCGAATATGTCAAGTTTGTTGA